CCCCCCGCCCCGTGGGGAGGATGGCAGGCACTACTGCAGCTGGCCGGTGGGCACCCAGCCCCTCGCTGACCCTTCGCTGGGCATCTCGAGATGCCCCAGGGTCACCTGTGCCCCAGGCGTGGGGGGGGCGGGGGGCGGCTCTGGCCAGGCTGCTTTCCCCAGCGCCCTCCCCAGATGGAAATCTGGACCCATGAAGGCAGACGAGGCGGGCAGAGGTAGTGGGGCTTGGGCCCTCAAGCCTCAGTTTACCCACTGGAGGCACGGGCTCGCTCAAGGATCCCCCCGTACGAGGCGCCCACCCGCACCCCTCCTCTGCCAGGCCTTTAGGCGCGGGGCCAGGGAGGGTCCGCGCGAGGCAGGCACGTGCGTCGCAGCCCCACGCTCGCCAGGGCCGAGTCCTGAGAGGCGCTGCGGGGACGCGGGGTGTCGTTGGGCCTGGCGGCGGGCGCACCGTCCGTGTCAAGAAATCAGACGCGGCTTCCTTGGAATGCTCGTTCAGTTGAGCGAGAGAAGCAAAAGCGTCGTCGAGGGACGCCTGCCGGCCTGGGCCCTTCTAAGTGCTGCTACCGTCCCGCTAACCGCCGAGGCCCCGGCACACGCGGGCCAGCTGGGGTCCCCGGGCCCCGACGCCGCGCCCGCCGTCTTCTGGGAAGATTGTGAGCTTTTCTCCCGTTTCCCGTGGCTCCAGACACACCCCCACCGCCTCTCCTCGCCGCGAGAACCTCTCCTACCACGCTGCTGCCGCCGAAAGGGGCTGTGCGCCTCCTGAGCCGGGCCTCCACACCCTGGCCCGGGCTGAGCGGTGAACGCACCCTCAGGGTGCACCCTCAGGGCTGGGCACCCTCAGGGCTGGGGCTGCCGGACCTGGGTAGACTGGGCCTGCTCGTGGGACGGTCCTGGGAGCTCCGGCTTCCGAAGGTAAGGGAGACGGGAGCATTCGAGGTCTGACGGAGCCACCGGCTCTGGCCGTGTGGGCCCTGGGTCCCCTCTGCACGTCATCAGAATCCACGTTCACCCCCGGGGAGGCTGGGTTCTCGGCACCCAATCCAAGCTCGCTCAGGAGAAGAAATCCATCTGACCGTGGGTTAATCTCGACGTACAAAGAGCTCCAACAGATCCGCGACGAAAGTAAGCGTTCAGTAAAGGGAGCTGTCGTTATCGTCACCGTCATTGTCACCATCGTCATGGCTGAGCCTGCTCTGACCAGGAAAGCCACCCAAATTTTCTGCGGGAAGACCCTTCAAGGACTGAAGTCCAGAGCTGTGGTGTCGGACCCTGTGCTGGGCAGCCCAGACAAGTCAGGCTCCCCTCTCTGGGCCTCAGTTTGGGAAACGGAAACACTGACCCCTGACCCGCTCCTCGGGGCTTTGGGAAGCTCGCTTGTTTGACCAGGAAGGACGGTTATTTGTTTCATAATCTTTCACCGGATGGGAAGGAAACAGGCCTGGCTGTGGGCAGAATCAGCCGTCGGCAGAGGCAACAGGGGCCGGCCTGAGGCTGCAGCCCTGACCCCCTACTTCCCTTGCTGTGTGACCTTGGCCAAGGCACTTGCCCTCTCTGTGTATCGGTTTCTCCATCGGTCACGGGGGTACAAACAATGCCGACCACCTCAGGTTGTAGGACCGAACGGGACCCCTGCAGCTTTGGGCCATGCCCCCCCCCCCCCCCCCCCCC